GAGCTCGGTCTGGATGTCTAAAACTCCATGTTGTGCCACGATCAAGAAGTCTCCATCGGCACTGTAAAATGCTTGGTTCTTGTCCATACTCTTTCCGGCAGCGAAGATAAAGATTCCAATTCCATGTTTCAATGTTGGATCACCGGCTCCAGCTACCAGTTTCAGACTGTGTACCCAATCCACTGTCTCATCTAGATCGAATGGATCCCATCTTAGTTGATTTGGTATTTGATGTAATTTGTTTCCTTCTGGATTTGTGTTGTAGGAAGAGGTCTCGCGAGGAGTAAAAGGTTGATGCGATGCTGCCTGGAGAATTCGGTGTAGCCCATGATTGTTGATTTTCATGTCGGGGGGAGCGTAATGCTGTACCGGACAGCTTTTCGGCGTACAGACCATAAGGAGGCTTTTGAGGAGAGTTGGCACCTATAGGGAGAGCACCTTCGACAGCTTCGGATCTGCGAAAGCATTAGAAAAATTGGGAAAAGTGATGAAGGGGTTGTGAATATAAGCTTACTCATGATATGAGCCGAAACCATTTTGATATTTATACTTCTCCGGTGTATTGAACTTTGTGACGGGCATTTCGAATTGCCTGTGATGGTATATATGGAATTAATTTATTGTTCGGAATGGCTCTTGGGATGTTTTGAGAAGGTATGAAAGATTTGAAAGATTTGAAAGATATTAAATTGAAAGTAAGTTTGCGAAATCCTTTTTGAATCTTTATCAATCGAGCAAAACAATCCATGAATTGTTATACCGCTCATGACGAAGTTGTTTTCCCCGCGTACAGCCGATAGGATTCCAAAACATCGGGGTCACCAAATCAATCCATTCCGCATGCGGGGTGAATATGAACAGCCAAGATTAGTCATCACAATTCTTCATTTTCTTCAAACGGAATTGATTCCGTAGGGACCATCTGCACTAAAGTTGCAGAACAAAGTCAATTCAGATAATTCTAGACTAACTCAACCTTCACTCCATACAAACTTCATGATTGATCATTATGCTTTCAAGTCTTTCTTCACTCTGGATTTCATCTCCATATTTTCAGGTACGGAAGGGAACCCGCGCGGAATATAAACATCTGGGGCTGTACGATCGGGTCCCATCTCTCCACACATTCTCACCATGAACCAATCACCATCCATTATTCTCAAACTTGAAGATGCATTCACGATCTCCCGATGAACTTGGTAATATCTTACAGCTCGTACGGTCAAGCCTGGAAACTGGGACTCATTCTCCGCAAGGACAAGTTTGTAAGAATGGGCTCACAGATGAGACATGGAATAGAATCGTATTGCTTGGACTTCATTATATATTGTCCATTTCTTCTACAATCTTACCTTCATTCACATTGACTGTCTTACTTCACTCTTCCTCCTCCTCCTCCTCCTTCTCTTCGTCAATATCATCTATATCACCACAATGTCTCCTGAAACCATCGGCATTGCGATTATCGCCACGGTTTTCTTCATTGTTCGATACCTAAATCGTACAGATACCCCAAAGATTCAGAATCTACCGGAAATTCCTGGATATCCTCTCTTTGGAAGTCTTCTAGAATTTGGTGTCTCTCATGCATTGGTAGCCAAAAGATTGGCGGAAAAGTATGGTGCTGTCTTCCAAGTAAGATTAGGAAATAGGGTAAGACATCTCACCATCTCCGCGGAAATGTCTCACTAATGGTAAATAGCGAATTGTATTCGTCAACACTTTCGATGCGGTCCGCCATTTCTGGGTTACCAATCAATCGGCTTTGATCTCTCGTCCTACTCTTCATACATTCCATAGTGTCGTGTCTACTTCTCAAGGCTTCACCATTGGGACTTCTCCTTGGGATGAGTCTTGCAAACAACGAAGAAAGGCTGCAGCTACTGCTTTGAATCGTCCGGCTGTTCAATCTTATATGCCAATCATCGATCTTGAGTCTCAGGTTTCCATCAGAGAGTTACTCAATGATAGTAAGAATGGTCAAGTTGACATCGATCCTATCTCTTACTTTCAAAGATTTGCTCTCAACACTTCTTTGACATTGAACTATGGATCAAGACTTCACGAAGTTAAGGATAGGGATTTACTTCAGGAAATCTGTCATGTGGAAAGAGCTGTTAGCAATTTCAGATCTACGAGCAACAACTGGCAGGATTACATTCCCTTACTGAGATTGCTACCAAAGTCGAACACCGAGGCTATCGAATATAGAGAAAGAAGAGACAAATACTTGAACTTCTTATTGAACAAACTCAAGAAACAAATCGATGAAGGAACAGATAATCCTTGTATTACTGGAAACATTATCAAGGATCCTGATGCAAAGTTGAATGAGAGTAAGTTTACTGAGATCTATCAATTGTGTAACACACTAACCCGCCTCAGATGAACTCAAATCCATCTGTCTAACAATGGTTTCTGCTGGTCTCGATACAGTTCCTGGTAACTTGATCATGGGTATTGCATATCTTTCCTCTGAACACGGTCAAGAAATTCAACAACAAGCATATGAAGAAATTATGAAGGTTTACCCAGATGGAGATGCATGGGAACGTTGTCTTGTTGAAGAAAAAGTTCCATATGTTACTGCTTTCGTTCGCGAAGTTCTTCGATTCTTCACTGTTATTCCTATTTGTCTTCCAAGAACCAGTATCAAAGATATTGAATACAACGGGGCTACTGTTCCAGCTGGCACTACTTTTACATGGTAAGCTTCCTTTTGAACTTCAAAGACTTCAGACTCATATTAACGCTTCTCTAGAACGCTTGGGCCGCTGACTACGATTCTACCCACTTCAAATCCCCCAATACCTTCTCCGTTGATCGCTATCTTGATAATCTCGAAGGCGGCGGTACACCTCACTATGCTTACGGTGCCGGTTCTCGCATGTGTGCAGGTTCACATCTTGCGAATAGAGAACTCTTCACTGCATTTATTAGATTGTTCACTGCCTTTCGAGTTGTGGCTCCGAAAGATCCAAAGGATAGACCGATCCTAGATGCTTTGGAATGTAATGCGGTCAAAACTAGTTTGACAACAGATCCTTATTCATTCAAGGTGGGTTTCAAGGTTAGGGATCAAGGGAAGTTAGAGAGATGGATGAGTGAGGCAGAGGAGAGGACGAAGGATCTTCATTGAGGAGAATGAGGTGGTAATAATTTTGGAAAAGATGAGTCTGGCAGGGACGATGAATAATTTATCGATTTAAGATGAAGGTCATTTTATCATGATTCATGACACGGAATGAAACGTCTTAGATATTAGCATAGCTTGGTCTTTTGTATTGCGTACTGCATAGCGAGTTTTTGTTTTTTGGGGGGTTTTTTCCAGCATCCAGTTTTAGAAAATTCAAGAGAAGAGATTGAATAAATATGAGAAAGATAGTATTCAGCTTTTTCGCACGCGGTTGATATCGTGTATATTCAATTCATCGACTAGTAGTTTTACAATGTTTTTTTTCCCTGTGTTTTTGACTAGTTGGTATGAAAATCAGTGAAAATCCTCTATCTTTATCTACCTCTCTTTAAATATTCGAATCAGAATATCAATTAATAGAAATAGAAATGTGTTGGAAACCGTAGAGGTTAAAAAAGCAAATATCTAGTAGTACTTTGATAAACCGTAACGACTATTGATGGTGAGTATCTAGTTTTTGTTAGTAGGGGATGAATGAATAAATGGATGGATGGATGGATGGATGGATGTAATGATTCTGCGGGGATTTTTGTTGATATTATTCTTTTTTTATTCTTGTTATTGTTATTCTTATTCTTATTCTTGTATTTTCGTGTGTTTTTATAGGAGAGGGGAGGAGAGGGGAGGAGAGGAGAGGATGAAGATGGGTTTTGGTTTATGGGCAAGAAAAGAGGGGGGAGGGGAAGGGGGGGGCTATCTTATCTGAGGTTTGTGGTTGATTTTGATTTTGATTTCGATTTCGAGAATTGAAGTTGGAGAGCAGTCTTGTGGTGAGAATAGATAGGTATTATCTCTTCTTGGGAAAGGGTTTTTGTTGTTGATGGGTTGGTTTAGTGATATACTGGTGTTATCTACTTCTGATTTGGTACAACTTACAACTTACTATTGGATAAGTTTCTGAAGATTACCTACCTCGTTTGAGTTTGAGTTTGAGCTTGATCGACTGGGCTTCGTGGAATCTGGAGAGATGTCAGTGTTATATACAATACTTTGGACTGATGATATGGTTCTTGTGTGTTTATTGCGGGGATGATGGGTAGGTAGGTAGGTGGTTGATGTGAATCTATACGTTGATAAGTGAGTCAACTTTGCGATCAACAGGGAAGGGGCACTCGCGGGAAATTAGACGGGTTTGTACGTGAGAAGCGCGATGCGGGGTGGTGACGACACAAGGAATGGAGGTTGATTGTGATGCTAATGGAACATCTGAGATAGAATCGTTTACCAAATCTGGTGACGGAAGGATGCGAAAGTTTCTGATGCTGAATACCTGTATAAAGTAAAGCATGTGGTTTCGTTTTTCAAAGTGTCATCTCCATTTCAAGATAGAAATTATCCTGGCAATCATGGGAGTATATTCTGAATTTGAGAATTAAAAATATGGCGCGCGTATTCATGTGTGTAAGATCACTTTCTTATAATTCTTCTTCCTCATCGTCATTTTTAATCGTGACCGTTGAGTCGACTCTACCTCCTCGAATACTGTTGTTAATAAGGGGCAGTTTTATTGTCACTTTTAAGATTTTTATCAAAGGAAATATGATATGTACTCTGTATCGCGGATGATTATACTGTTGAGTGATGTTGACTCCTTCTCTTGAGCTTGAGAAATAGAGTAGTGTAAACGCAGAAGACGGTCCTGAGAGGCTTGGTTGATGTCATATATTTGGGATGGGTCTTAGAAGATGGGGTGGGAAAGGGATTTTATACTCCTTCTGGGGTGAGTATATTGGGGGACAGAGGGAAGAATGGGAGTTGTGCAGATGAATTATTGCGAATTTTGGCTTTGGGGGCGAGTGCGAGATGCGGGAAGGAAGAAAATAGAGGGTGTCATGGAGAAATAGCCGAGTGAATCGCCGTGTATAAATTGGGTGGACTTCTCGTGATTTTAGAGCTGCAATGGTTTGTGATAGGAAGAATTCCGTAGTTAGCGAATGGAGGTTGAGATGCAAAGTTGTGTTCACCGAAGCGGTAACTACCTCTTGCTTAGATTCTCGTATTGAGGCTCTGAAATGTGAGATATCTGGATACTTTAGGAATCATGTTGTCATTTATACGAAGATACTTACTGTAAGTATGGAACAGTATCGCGACAATGATCTCTGCCAGTGACGGTGAATCCCCATTCTCCAGCACCTCGTATTGTATTTTCTCTGTAGACAATGAAAATTACCACGGCGCATTCGGAAAATTGCGATTCAAGAATCAATCCTATTTCCAATCCGCACCAATTTCTTGTGCTTGGCTCTCAGTTGACCCTTTTCACATAAAGGTTTCAGTCCATTCTTAAAAGGAGGTATTCTTGTGGTTGGACGTTGGTTTAGGTTTTCGATTTATATAGTATGTACTTGCGCTAGATGGGTTTTAAGTGAATATCTTGGATACAATCTTGTTTTATGTTCATACTGTTTAAGTCGACTCGTGATAACCTCCTTGTGAAGTATAAAGCAAGCTTTTCCTCTAATCGAGATGATATGATATAAGTGAGAACAACATGAATCGCTGATGAAGAATTGACGTCACTTGATTCCAATACCGCCGCTGGATATGGTTTAAAGAAGCCATGCACGTAAGGAACGAGAATTTATATGAGAGGAAAGTTTGTTAAGTTTACAGTTTCCAAGTCACAGCCATCATTGATAACCCCGTAAATTTTTTCTGAAACAATCTTCAACTTCATCAAATAATAGATTCTCCACAACCGAAAGATCACAATCCCCAGAGTCCGAACTTCCAAAACATGTACTTAAAGACATCATCTCAGTTCCTCCTTGGCACGGGAATCGTAGCATAATAAGCCATAGCTGCCATATTAATCTCCGGGGTCAACTCTTTTCCTTCTTCCATCATCTTAGCTAGGAGTTTGAAGTAATGGATGTAGAATGCCTGGGTTTTGGTCAGTCGAATCTCTACCCATCTAGTTGCCATCTTTTCCCCTCCTCTTCCTTTTCTCCCCTTTTAAATTTCCAATTATCCTCCATCATTCTCTCCCACTAAAGCCTATCCCCAAAGCAAGAACCACAGGTAGCGATTAAAACACAAGCCAGGTAAAAATTCAAACATACCGGAGTAAAAGTATTAACAAATTTCGCCTCCTCATCCGTCTCATTGCTAAATGTGTGAGGAGCTCTGGGAGGCACAACCACATAATCACCTACTCCTGCATCGATTCTCTTCTCGGATTCGCCGGTTGAGGGATTGGCGGGCACCTGGAAGGTTATTACTTGAGGGTATTATTAAAGCTAGAGTAGAAGTAGTGGGTCTTGGGGGGGTGATGGTAGGATGCGAGAAGATGAAGGGAATGAATGAGCAAGGAAATAAGAAAGCCCCCCCCCTTTCGTAACCAAGAAGCATTCATCATGCATCCCGTGCCAGTGAGCTGGCGGCCCCCTTTAGACCCGCGGGAAGAGTGCCCTCAACGGTCGAATCCGGTTATCTATCATTTTTGTTAATTTCTTATTATATTTCTTATATCATACTACGGATGAACTCCACGCGTCTCCCATACCAGTTCCCTCAAACCTAAACACAGGCAGGAACTAATAGGTAGTCCAAGAGAGAACAAAATAAGAAACACATACCAGTCCTACTCCCATCTTCTAAAACTCTCAATTTGACATTTCCCAATGTGATGACCTCCCCTGTCTCTGATTTGACATAGTGGACTGGAACATTTGGTTGAGGGGCAATTGATACGGGAGGACTCATTTTCTCAGCGAAATTTTTTTGATGGTATCTGTGAAAACAACTGCGGTACTTCGTCGATTTGAGCGCGGTTTGTGCGTTTGCGAAACGTGACGAGTGCGTAGAAAAGGATCAATGGAGGAAGTATGAGCGAACTGTAATTTAAAGCGCAACGAAAAGAATCTGAATAGACACTGGCACTACATCTTTATATCTTCAATCTCTACTCCAACCTCTTTCAAGGATCAATCGTGAACCACCGCAATCATACAACAATGAACCCCAAGTCGGATAATCTCTCTCCAAATTTGCCGATCCTCTGAACCTCATCATTCAATCTGATTGGTTCGCTCGCACCAACGGGCATCAACGAACACCTTGGAAGATGTCGGAGTAAGCAGAGGACCGAAGTGCGGTTAAGGATTCTGCGCTTACTAATGACTGCAGGATGCGGACTTCAACACTTGTTGAATGTATCGGATATCAAATTTAAATCCGTAGTATTGACTGGTTTGTTGTATGGCTATCGTGATGTCCTTGTCTACTGCGGATATGATGGAAGGGAGGGGATGCGGGTGTACTAGTGGAAGGCTCACCAAAGACATGTGCTTTCACTGGAGTTCATAAAAGAATGAGAAACTCTGCATTCTCTTATTTAACTAGGTAGCTATAATCAAAGTTTCAAACGATTGTTCGAATTAGATTGAATAGTCTCCATTTTCTGATCGAGTTGAATTGAGATACACTCTATGTCCTCCAAATTCTTTTAGCAATTTAGTTTTCCATACCATCGTTCTTCCGAAACCCGCTGAGTAATTTATCATCATTCAAATATGCAAAGAAATATTCATTAAATAATTTCAGATCAATTTTCCAAAAGTCCCTCCTCGTTTCCAAATCAACCCTGCCACTGAACCTTTCCACTTCTTACCAAATTAACCATCCCGGTGGGCAACAACCCCTTGTCCACAACAGCCAATCCTCCAAATCTCTCTATCATTTCTTCTCCATAAAGCTTCACAACCCATTTCCAATATCCCATATCCAATCCCTCAAACACCGAAGAGAAGCCACCTTCAATTGCCTTTGCCTGAATCATATCAGACTCATCCCAATCCGCCGATTCTTTGCTTGGTTGCTTGAGTAGATCCTCAAAGACCCCAACTAGAGTTCCTTCCCAAGAGTCGACAGATTTTTCTCTATATCTGGTGAATTCTTGGAAAGACATAAAGTCTTGCAGACCAGGGAGATTGAGATTGTCGAGTTGCCACTGACGCGCCATTGCCACATTGACTTGAGGAGCTCTCTTTTCGAAATTATCTTTAGCCACTCTATATGCTTCAATCTCCGCCTCGAAGAAATTATCCATCAACGTTTCCGGGGTTTCATATACCCCATCTCGTAATTGTAAAAGCCCAATGAAAGGATTGTGCAACTCAAGACCGCCAAGACTAGTTGGGAAGTAAAGATATCCATCGGGGACATTGTCGATCCCAAATCTCTCTTTCAAAGTATCTTTGAGATATGAAACCACGTTTGTATTGGTAAAGATCAGATTTTGAATGTGTCGGAAACTTGATAGCATAGCGTCAACATGTGCACGACCAAAGGAATTCGATGGTTTTCCGAAGTTTGAGGTGAAGAAGCGACCGGCATAAGTATTCCAGGCTTGGATCCATGAGAAGACACTTTTCTTATCACGGAGCTGGGATTGAAGTTCTGAAACATGTTGATCGACCATAGGTTGATCAATGATAAAGTGGCCGGTGGTAGGATCTAGTTTGAGAAAGCCCCAGCGAATGTCTCCGACAGGAAGAGAAGGGTCCATGGGCTGCTTGGATCCACTAGATGTGATGCGTACAGAGCCGGTTTTACCTTTATTAAGCGTAACTCCCATAATTTCTGAGAATTGAAGAATTGAATTCCATCCTTTGACAACAGATTGGTGAGAAGGCGACCAAATCCAAAAGTCATCATGCATTCTGTAAAGTTGAACTCCATCTGTGCTTTGATTTACAGCGTAATCAAGACAGAAAAGAATTGTTTCGCCGCAAACAGCAGACAAAGCGTGAGCTCCGGGAACACCACGCTTCCGAATGCGAGCTTCCGCGGATATATCATCATCGACAAATTTCAGGGGAGCTTCAAGAAACTTTTGAAAAAATCTCGACCATTTTACCGATAAACCAAAGAACTCAAGAACACAGAAAATAGTGGAATGTGGCAATGATGGACCAAATGACTCAAATTCGGAGCGAGCACAGCTTATCTCGCCATGAACCTTTGTATTAATGATAATCTCAGTTGACAGTAAATGAAGTATGAATTGCTTGATCTCCATTGGCGTTTTTGGCAAATCATCGGAATCCCCTTCATCGGCGTTCAGAAACGAATCGAAATCAAAATCTGTAAGTACACTTGCAGCGGGATTGAATCCAGTTGCCTGTGCCTGCATCTTTGCTCTCTTTCTCTTGGGCGCAGGAGGCGGAGCTTGCTGTGCTTGCTGTGCTTGCTGTGCTTGCTGTGCTTGCTGTGCTTGCTGTGTTTGCATAAGGTTACGGTGAGACATAGCTGGTCCCTGCCTCAGAGACATCAGCGGTCTGGAGAATTCAACCATATTATAATTGGCTTCTTCGACTCCGTCCTGATCTGCTTGCTCATCTTGTTCCGAATCGGGAAGCTGAGACATGAAGTATATGGATTTATAAAGTTCCTCCCGCTTCTCCATAACACTTCCCTGACGGGTGTATGATGGTCCCAGGTAGAAATCTCTTCTTGCCTTATCAATTGGGGGAATAGGTTTGTTCAGTTTTGACCATGCTCCATCGAAATCGGAGAAACCTATGAAGGCTTTTTTGAAGAAAACAGACCATTTAACACCAATATATTGAAGGAACAGTGCTTCTAGGAGATCTTCGTCAATGAACATATGATGCGTACCATTAAGGTGACGTCTTTGTTCAACAGCAATGTCCCTGTTCCATTCCCAGATATCTATGGATGCAAGACGCATGTTCAGAACATCTGCGACTTCTGTAAGAATGACGGGACTGGCAAGGAAATCCTTTAGCGCTGCACGCTTTTCCTCTGATAGAAGACCGGAAGATATAAGGCCATTAATAGTCCAACGTAAAACAGTAGGATCAAATTGGCCTGGGGCAGATAAGGTATTTCCGAATGTCTCAACTTCTTTTCGTAGAGCAATCAAGGCTTTCTTGGCTTGCCCATTCTTCCCATCCATTCCAAATAAGGTAGTCAGGTATGTCGTGATTGCCTTATGATCGGTTTCGAAGGGTTGGAAGACCAAATCTTCCCAATTTGCTCGTCCCTCAGTCCTAGCAACGCTCTCCTTCTTGACTTTTTGAAACTCTTCATCGATTTCCGAAGTGTCATTGGCAACTTCGACGGCTTTATGTTGCTGCTCTGCTGAAAGCCATTCTGTAACCAACTCGCCATACAAAGTCGCATACTGGTGTTTTGATGATTGCACATCAATGTGGCGTACCAAGTATTTTTCCCACTGCTCTAGAGTCTTATCGGAGATGGATGGATCATATTCAGCTTGTGCGATAAACTTCTCGAGATTCTTGACAAGCAGTTCAAGCGGAGATAATTTGATGTTACTGTCGTGACTACGCTTTTTCGCAACTGAGGTCGTGATTGCGAAGCTTTCTTTCACACCTTCCAATAATATCTTTAGCCTTTTCCGTTGGTCGAGTTCATTGCTTAGTTTGTCGGAGAGAGCATCCTTTTGGCTTTCGAAATGATGGCGCTTCTTGGAAAGTTCAGTAAGCTTTGTAGTAGTGATGGATTGAAGTGTCTCGGAGAAAACTCCTCCAGACATGGTGGAGATGGGAAGTTATGGAAGACAAGGTGTTTTATGAAGGATAGGAGAATATGGAAGGTGCAGCTTAATAAATCCAAAAACTAAGGGGATTTCTGTAGAATGATGAATGAAAATATTGTGAGTGATGGATTTCTGAATACTGGGGGGTCATGCAGTGATATTTATAATCGAAAAGAGAGGGTGACGAGGCGGTGCAGGCAGCAGTGCAAACCACTCCGCGTCACGTGTTGATGTTACACTAAAATTTAGAAACACGTGCACAAAGAAAACTTCATGTCAACCGCACCCTGAAGCAGAGTAGGAAAGTTTGACGGTCGTTATCTCACTTTCAAACCCTCTTTGTCGATAAAATTTTTATAGTATTGAAGATTCATATTGGTCTTTTTAATACTATTAATATTTTGGATTGCTTACTAATAATCAATTTTTTTCAGTCAATTAGGGATTGGGGGGAATGTTTATTTTTTCAAAAGTCTGAAAATATTTAGGCATATTTTTGATAAACAATTTAATTCATTTAATAAAAGCACTTTAATTATATATATTACCCTTTCAATTATTATTTATTAAAAAACTAATTAAAATATTCGAAAAAGCTCAATTGATATTATTATATAAATCGACTTTAAATTAATTAAAATTATAATTGTTATAAAATTCAATTAGAAAGTTTTTTTTTCAAACTAACTAAGTTATTTTCAATAATTTCAAATTATTTTCACTAATAATAAAAATAGTATCAATCGAATTATTTTATTGAATTGAATATCTTACAAGTCTTTTCAAATATATTAATAACGTTAGGATCATATTATCGATAATAATTAAATTCTGAATATAAAATACCTTAAGTTTAAAGCATTTTGCTTCAGAATTTTAGAGTTAAAAGCATCCAATCTCTTCGAAATCAATAATAACTTTTATTATTTAAGATTCTATTTATATAAAAAGAATAAGCTAAATAAAAGAATTTTTGGAATATATATTTTTTAATTGAAAGTTGTGGTGATAATGGATTTCGAAGAGGGTGGATACTTATTTTATTGAAATATTATTATTTGAAATATTACTTTTTAATTTTCAAAGCTGTATTTGTATATAATCTAATAAAGCTATAATAATAAAAATTATATCAAAATTGTTAGAGTAGATAATAGCAATGAATCAACTAGGTATA